AACCACCGGATCCAATGCATCATCCTCCAACACTTCCGCCATCTGCAATCCGACCCCACCACCAAAGACATTTTTCCCTCCCCACCCTTATCTGCTTTCCGGAGGGACCACTCTCTCCGTGACTTCCTTGTCCGCTCCACACTCCCCACCACACCCGGCACTTTTCCCTGCAACCGCAGGAAGTGCTACACCTGCCCCTACACCTCCCCCCTCACCCCCATCCCAGGCCCCAAGAAGACTTTCCATATCAAGCAGATGTTCACCTGCACATCTGCTAATGTGGTATACTGCATCCGCTGTTCCCAGTATGGCCTCCTCTACATCGGGGAAACCAAGCGGAGGCTTGGGGACCGCTTTGCAGAACACCTACGCTCGGTTCGCACTAAACAACTGCACCTCCCAGTCGCGAACCATTTCAACTCCCCCTCCCATTCCTCAGACGACATGTCCATCCTGGGCCTCCTGCAGTGCCACAACGATGCAGGAACAGCAACGCATATTCCGCTTGGGAACCCTGCAGCCCAATGGTATCAATGTGGACTTCACAAGCTTCAAAATCTCCCCTCCCCCTACCGCATTCCAAAACCAGCCCAGCTCGTCCCCGCCTCCCTAACCTATCCTTCCTCCCACCTATCCCCTCCTCCCACTTCAAGCCCCACTCCCATCTCCTACCTACTAACGTCATCCCCGCCCCCTTGACCTGACTGTCCTCCCTGGACTGACCTATCTCCTCCCTAACTCCCCACCTACAATCACCTTTACTGGCTCCATCCCCGCCTCTTTGACCTGTCTGTCTCCTCTCCACCTATCTTCTCCTCTGTCTATCTTCTATCCGCCTCCCCCTCTCTCCCTATTTATTTCAGAACCCCGTTCCCCTCCCCCATTTCTGAAGAAGGGTCTAGGCCCGAAACGTCAGCCTTCCTGCTCCTCTGATGCTGCTTGGCCTGCTGTGTTCATCCAGCTCTACGCCTTGTTATCTCTGTGATCTTTGGAGGTTGTGTCAGTGGTGAATGATGTATCCCAACAGGACTAAGTGTCTTGGAGCACATTACTTGGTCAGCATTATAGCATAAGTTTTGCCTTAGCAATGCAGAAGAGCAGTGTGCAATCTAATGTAAACTTCTACATTGGGAATTCTTAACTTCAGTGGACAGATGCGGAAGCATTGGAAAAAGTGCAGAGGAGATTTACTAGGATGTTGCCTGGAATGGAGGGAAGGTCTTACGAGGAAAGGTTGAGAGAGCTAGGTCTTTTCTCTTCAGAACGACGAAGGATGAGAGGTGACTTGATAGAGGTGTACAAAATGATCAGAGGTATAGATAGAGTGGACAGCCAGAGACTGTTTCCTAGGGTGGAGGTAGCTATTATGAGGGGGCATAGTTTTAAAGTGAGTGGAGGTAGATATAGGGGAGACGTCAGATTATCACAATGTGACAACATTAAGTCCACACTGACTCTCTGAAGAGCCTTCCACTCAGATTCATCCCCCTACCCTATTCCTGTAACCCTGGATTTCCCATGGCTAATCCACCTAATTTACACATCCCTGGACACTAGGCAATTTAGTATGGCCAGTCCGCCTAACCTGCATGTCTTTGGACTGTGGGAGGAAACCATAGCACTCAGAGGAAACCCAAGCAGACACTCGCAGAATGTGCAAACTCCACAGACAGTTGCTCGACGCTAGAATTGAATCAGGTCCCTGGTGCAGTGAGGCAACAGTACTAACCACTGAGCCACCATTCTAATGCTCTTTATCAACTTACCCACTTGTGTTGCCACTTTTAGAAGCTATGGATTTAGACCACAATATCCCTCTCTATATCAATGCTTTTAAGGATCCTGCCATTTACAGTATACTTTCTTCTTAGATTTGACCTCCTAACATGCATCACCTCACACTTAGAGTCATAGAGATGTACAGCACGGAAACGGATCCTTAGGTCCAACTCGTCCATGCTGATCAGATATCCTTGATAAATCCAGTCTCGTTTGCCAGCATTTGGCCCATATCCCTCTAAACCCTTCCTATTCATATACTCACCCAGATGCCTTTTAAATGTTGTAATTATGCCAGCCTGCACCACTTCCTCTGGCAGCTCATTCCATACACGCACCACCCTCTGTGTGAAAAAGTCGCCCATTAGGTCCCTTTTAAATCTTTCTCCTTTCACCTTAAAACTATGCCCTCTAATTTTTTACTTTCCCACACTGCGAAAATAACCTTGTCTATTTAAGCTATCCATGCCTCTCGTGATTTTATAAATTTCTAGAAGGTCACCCCTCAGCCCCTGAAGCTCCAGAGGAAATAGCCTCTGCCTATTCCACCTCTCCCTATGGCTCAAATCCCTCTAACCAGGCAACATCTTTGTAAATCTTTTCTGAAACCTTTTCAAGTTTCACAACATCTTTCTATAGCAGGGAGACCAGAATTGCACACAGTATTCCAAAAGTCTTCTACAGCCGCAACATGACCTCCCAACTCCTATACTCAATGCACTGACCAATAAAGGCAAGCATACCAAACAACTTTACCTGCAACTCCACTTTCAAGGAACTATGAACCTGCACTCCAAGGTCTCTTTGTTCAACAATACTCCCCAGGACCTTGCCATCTGAGATGCAGCATCTCAGATTTATCCAAATTAAACTCCATCTGCCACACCTTGGCCCATTGGCCCATCTGATCAATATCCCAATGTACTCTGAGGTAACCATCTTGGCTGTCCTTTACACCTCCAATTTTGGTGTCAGCTGCAAACTCACTAACCATATCTCCTGTGTTCACATCCAAATCATTTATATAAAAGACGAAAAGCAGTGGATCCAGCACCAATCCTTGTGGTGATCATGGGCCTCCTGTCTGGAAAAACAACCCTCCTTCCCCACCACCACCTTCTACCTTTTGAGTCAGTTCTGTATCCAAATGACGAATTCTCCCTGTATTCCATGTGTTCTAACTTTGTTAACTAGTCTACCACGAGGAACCTTGTCGAACGCCTTACTGAAGTCCATTTAGATCATGTCCACTGCTCTGCCCTCATCAATTCTCTTCATTACTTGTTCAAAAAAACCTCAATCAAGTTAGTGAGACATGATTTACCACGCACAAAGTCATATTGACTATCCCGAATCAATCCTTGCCTTTCTGAATACATGCAAATCTTGTCCTTCAGGATTCCCTCCAACAACTTGCCCACCACCGATGTCAAGCTCACCAGTGTCCGGATTAAACACTATCTTGTCTCTTCTCCACCCAACTTCCCAATGGCTCTTCATCCTGCTGTATTCTTTGACAAACTTACTCACTATCCACAACTTCACCAATTTTTCCATTGGTTTGGTTGCCTAAATCTTACATATGCTTCCTTTTTCTTTTTAAGTAAACTTTCAAAATCTCTTGTCATCCAGAGTTCCCACATCTTGACAACCTTATCTTTCATCCTCACAGGAACCTGCTGGTCCTGAAGTCTGATTACCTGACCTTTAAAAAAACTCATACGTCATGTGTAGGTGTTACCGCCAAATTCTCCAGTTCCTACTGTTGATCTCTCACCGCCAATCCACCTGACCTTGGTCCAGGCCCAGCTCTTCAGGCTTTTATCAGGAAACTGCCGCTTCTGTTTGCCCCCTAGTTCACTCTGTTCTGCTCTTGCTGACCTCTCCACATTTACCCTGTCAAGCTCCTAAGAATCTTATATGTTTCAATCATGTCTTCTGTCATTCTTCTAAACTCCAGTGAGTATAAGCCTAACCCACTCAAGTTCTCCACACAAGAAAATCCCTTCATACACAGAACCAACTTAATGAACCTACTCTGGACTGCCTTCAATGCCAGTATATCTTTCCTTAGATATGCAGTAAAAGAATAAAGACATGGAAGGAAACGTGTAACACAGTTACTCACCAATTAGTTCTATCCCTGGTTGTGATATTGCTCTATATGTTGGTTATTTCACTGGGGACTGTTACCATGACTTGACTTTGGTTATTGTGTTCACACTTAATCCAGGTTGTGGTTGCTACAAGTGAGTATCTGAGCTACCTACGTCTGCTGCTCTAACTGTTGTGCTGTGCTGTATTGACAAGCTTAATCTAGTCATGTAGTTCATTAATAACATCAATAGAATTCTGATTAAGTTATTCTGCAAGTCCCTGGAAGTTAAACAGTTTGAATGGGTTTTAGAGATGATCAGATTGTGTAGCCTCACAATCTTTCTCTATTACTAAAGTGTTTTTTTTCTCTTAATAGATATGGCTTGTTTTCATGAAGTAGCATTGGTTTCTGGACGACATCCTAAACCTGTCGGACTGGTTCTTCAATATGGAACAGCAGGATTTCGTGCACGGGCTGAACAACTGGATCATGTGATGTATCGCATGGGTTTGCTGGCAGTGTTGAGGTCCAAGAAAACCAAATCTACTATTGGTGTAATGGTCACAGCATCCCATAATCCAGAAGTAAGATTCAAAGGGAAATTAATTTTGCATGGAATAGTTGATTCGAATTTTACCTTATCAGTTCTTCAGCTACAGGATATGAAGGATGTGTGAATGCACTGAAATAAAGGACAGAAAACCCCTAGATGTTCCAATTCTAACGTTTTTGATAGTTCTAACATATTTGATAGTTCCAGCATAAGAACAGAGGATTTTGAAGCAAGAATTGACCAGTTGGCCATTTGAGCCTGCTCTTCCATTTGATAAGATCATGGTTGTGGCCTCTACTCCACTTTCCTGTCTTTTGTCTCACCCCCTGAATCTTTGACGCCCTTGTTGATCAAATATCTATTCAACTCAAACTGAATAAATTAAATGACATGCTGTTCTCTGCTTTCTGGGGAACATAATTCTAAATACTAATAATTCTGAGAATAAAATTGTCTTCTTACTCTTAAACACTCTTCTTTTTCTAGTCTCCCCTCCAGAAGATGATGTTGCCAGGGTTGGATGGTTTGAGCTGTAGGGAGAGGCTGAATAGGCAGGGGCTATTTTCCCTGGAGTGTCGGAGACTGAGGGGTGGACCCTATACAGGTTTATAAAATCATGAGAGGCATGGATAGGGTGAATAGCCAAGGTCTTTTACCCGGGGTGGGGGAATCCAAAACTAGAAGGCATTGCTTTAAGGTGAGAGGGGAAATATTTAGAGAGGACCTAAGGGGCAGCCTTTTCATGCAGAGGGTGGTGCGTGTGTGTAATGAGCTGCCAGAGGAAGTGGTGGAGGCTGGTACAATTACAATATTTAAAAGGCATATGGATGGGTATATGAATAGGAGGGTTTAGAGGGATATGGACCAAACGCTGGCAAATGGGACTAAATTAATTTAGGATATCTGTTTGGCATGGACAAGCTGGACCGAAGGATCTGTTTCCACGCTGTACAGATCTATGACTATCTTTCCTACATCAGGGAGACCAGAATATTGGCTACTGATTTTCTCCAGCATCCTCTGTTCTATTCCAGAAATTCACAATATCGTTCCTGCTGGCCTAGGGCGACCATGTACGCTGTCTGCTGCACCTGGCCCCACATCATGATCAGCAGTCTCTTGAAAAATATTTCTTTCTCACTGAGATAAACCTTTGCTGAAAGTTATTAAATAGCTGCTTAAAAGTCTGCCATTGTACGTGTGCTGTCCTGCCTATCAAACCTAGTTTCCCTGTTTGCTTTAGCTAGCTCTGTCATCATACCTTGATATTTACAATTATTTAGATTTTAAAAGGTCAGTCTTAGACCCATGCTTTTCCCTTTTAACTCAGTGCAAAATTCTACCATGCAATGATCGCTGTAGTGTAGAAACACCTTTGTAATGAGGTTATTGAATAATCCTGTCTCATTATATGTTATACTATTGTCTGTCATACAGTGCTGTTAGGGGGACTATAGACTAGCCCCACAAACAATGCCTTAACTTTCCTTTTCTTACCTTTACTCAAACTGATTCTATATCTTGCTGTTTTGAGCTACGGCCATCTTTCACTATTGTATAAGCGACATTCTTAATTTGCAGAGCAATGCCACCGCATTTTCTTAGTTTCATGACTTTTCATAATGTCAAAATGTCTTCAATATTGAAGTCCCAGCTTTGGTCATCTTGCAGCCAAGTGTCTGTAAAGACTAACAGATTATATATTTCTATTTGAGCTGTCAGTCTATCCGTTTTGTTATGAATGCTGCACACTTTCAGATGTAGAGCTTTCATTTCTGACTTCTTACCATTCACGTAATCCATGCTATTTCTACTGGTACATTCTTAAATCTGCTTGCTTTGCTCTTCCTACTGTCACCCAAATTGCTATCATGTTGTATTACCTTCTTGTTGCTCTTTGATTTATCACATCTCCTCTCACATGATTACTTCCCCAAACTGTTTAGTTTAAAGCCCTCTCTATTGCCCTTTGTTATATGACATGCCAGAAGCCTAGTCACAGCACAATTCAGGTGAATACGGTCCCAACAGTACAGCTCCCATTTTTTCCACTACTTTTACAGGTGCTTATGAGTCAACCCATTTCAACCACATCAGTCTTTGAGTCAAGCATTCAACTCTCTAATCTTATTTAGCCTATGTCAGCTTGCTACTGGCTCAGGTAATAATCTAAAAAATATTGCCTTAAAGTTCTGTCCTTTAATTTAATCCCTAGCAGCTCATACTCCCTTGACAGAATCTCTTTCCAAGTCCAAGCTATGTTGGCCGCAACAGCTTGATTCTCTGTCCTTGTGCTTCAAGTTCCTCTCCAACCTTAAGTAGATATTGTGAACCTTGGAACCTAGCAGGCAACACAGCCTTCCGAAATCCTGCTCATGACTGCAGAGGACAGTGTCCAATCCCTAACCATAATCTAATCCCACACTTGAATTTCTTTCTTTAGCAGGGTGCCATGATTAGATCATTCATCCAGCTTCCAGCTTTCACTCTCACCCGTTCGGGCTACAAGAGCTTAAACTTTCTGGACAATTATAGGGACTATGGCGCCTCCACTCTACCTTCTTGATCCACTTACATGCTTTAGTTGCAGTCATATCTGCTTGTTCCTTACCATCAACCAAATTAGATAACTCTATCCTAAGCGGTATGACAGCCTCTGGAGAAATCTGTATTTTGTGCCTCCAAGCTGTATCTATAGCTTGGCTTCTAGCTCATTGGCATTGAGCCACAGCTCCTAAAACCATAGACACATATTGCAGACATGGTTGACTTGGATCATGTCAGCTTCATCAACTCCCATGTACTACAGCCCTCAACATGTGACGTGACCTGCCCTGCCCCTTTTTTGTGTTAATTAATTTATTTTTCTTAATTTATAATTAATGAGTCTTAGTACTTCGATTAAGCTTTACTACAGTTATTAAATCTTGCTGATAATAAAGCCTAATATTTGCTCATAAATTATCCCTGTTTTGAAAGATAAAAGAGAAAATACTCACTGACCAGTCGCCTGCATCTATGTGACATCACAGTTTGATGATCCTCCAATCTGCTGTGGATCCACAAACTGATCTAACTGCTTTCTGGTCCCTTGCAGTCCTCTCGCGTATTATGTTTTGTTATGGTCTTTCACTGCTCTCTTCCCTATCCCCTCGTGGCATTGTAACCTGTCAATCTTCCCTCTTCACTTTTACTGTTTTATGATTTCTCGCGGCACATCTGTTCTCTTTCTGCTTTATGGAATCTTGCTGCTGTCTCTGTAGATGCTGTCTGACCTGAAACAAGCATTTTCCGTATTGATGTCTATAAATGTTCTGTGTTGTGTGTTCTATGTTCTAAATTCCATCTTGTATTGCCATGCTGTAACTTCAACACACCATACCAAATTCACATTAGGCACATCTGAACATTGTAAAACAAATGTCTGAAAGCCAAGTAAATGGGCCGTTTAAAGCTGTTATGCCCCTGTTCTTCTAAGTTATACACATTTTTCTTTCATGTTATTTCTGTCCCAATAATGTGACAGCCTAATTGATATTTTTAGTTTTCAAAAGTGGACAATAAATGAAGATTGAGACTGACCTTGAAATGTTGGAGCTATTCTGATGGTTAGCAGATAAATACACCACGTGGTATCAAACAGGCATTCAAAACAATTGTTTCCTTGTGTTATCCTTGCCTACTGGGGAATTAACTGATTACACTATTATTTGTAGTAGCAGCACCTCCAATTTTTATGTTATCTGTAGGGAAAGTTAGACAAACTGGGCTAATGAATTTTATTCTTTGTTGCATTCAGAATTTGGATGTGACCAAACCCGAGTTAGTTGTATCGATTCATCATTTCTGCTCTGTCTAATCTGTTGACAACTAAATTTAACTTGGTGGCAGGATTTGCATTTTTTTTTCATGTTGAAAAGAAAAGAGTTTTGAATATGTTAAAATGTTAATTGTCTTAAATGTCAAAATTGAAATTTCTAAAATTTAGTGTTTTGTTTGTCTCTGCTTTTCCTCCCATCATATACTATATCCAGGCCTAATGGATCATGTGGTTAAGGAAGAGTTGAGCATGAATTTTTTTTTTTGTACATTAGATAGGCTTCAAATGAAAATAAAGACAGGAAATGCCAGAAATACTGAGCAGGTAAGGTAGCATCTATGGTGGGAAATAAACAATATTAAAATTTCTGGTGAATACTTGATGAAAAGTGACTTACCTGAATTTGTTTCATTGTCAGTGGTTTTACTTTGTATAGTTTATATTTTACTGAAGGATTGTCACTGGAATTCTGGAAAAGCACAAGTGTGAAACCTTCCTTTACTTGAGTTAATTCCTTTGTTTCTTTTGCAATTGTCCATCAGAATATTTTCCATTTTTATCTTATCTACAAAGCTGTTGACATTATTTAGCTTTGAAATGCAAGTGTCATCCAGGTGCCAGGCTAATTATATATAGAGGAATGATTATTGCATTTTTAATCACAGAATAGCAAATTAGGAGCAGACACTCTGGCCAGTTTTGTTTCCCCCAGTAACAAGACAGACTTGCATTTATATGGCACTTTTAATAGTTACCAGATGCTTCAAAGCACTTTGCAGCTAGGAAATCCTTGTGAAGTTGACAAATATATAATACACACAATTTGTGCAAAACCAGTTCTTAAAAGTAGCTCAGAGATAGTAAGAACTGCCGATGCTGGAGTCAGAGATAACACAGTGGGGAGCTGAAGGAACACAACAGGCCAGGCAGCATCAGAGGAGCAGGAAAGCTGATGTTTCGGGACGGGACCCTTCTTCAGAAATGGGGGAGGGGGAAGGGAGCTCTGAAATAAATAGAGAAAGGAGGGGTTGGGCTGGGGAAGGTAGGTGGGATGGTAATAGGTGAGCGCAGGTAGGCAGTGGTGGGGATTGGTCAGTGAGGTGGGAGGAGCGGATAGGTGGGAGAGAAGATGGACAGGTCAAGGGGGCAGGGATGAGAGGGACAAAACAGAGGCTCGGAGACCACTTTGTAGAGTACCTGCGCTCGGTTCGAGATAAACAACAACACCTTCCAGTTACGAACCACTTCAACTCCCCGTCCCACTCCCTGGGCGACATGTCCATCCTGGGCTTCCTCCAGTGTCACAACGACGCCACCCGGAAACTGGAGGAGCAGCATCTCATATTCTGCCTTGGGAGCCTACAACCCAATGGTCTCAATGTGGACTTTACGAGTTTCAAGATCTCCCCACCCCTGGCCTGATCCCTTGACCAACCCTCCCTCTCATCCCTGCCCCCTTGACCTGTCCATCTTCTCTCCTACCTATCCGTTCCTCCCACCTCACTGACCAATCCCCACCACTGCCTACCTGCGCTCACCTATCACCATCCCACCTGCCTTCCCCAGCCCCACCCCTCCTCTCTCTCTCTATTTCACAGCTCCCTTCCCCCTCCCCCATTCCTGAAGAAGGGTCCTGACCCAAAACGTTGGCTTTCCTGCTCCTCTGATGCTGCCTGGCCTGTTGTATTCCTCCAGCTCCACACTGTTATCTCTTAAACGTAGCAGTGTGTTAATGAACAGATAATGCTGAAATAATCTGTTTTTGTGATGTTGATCGAAGGATAATTGTTGACTGTGGCACCAGAGTTCCCCCTGCTCCTCTTAATAACTATTGTTGGATCATTTTCATCAACCTAAGAGAGCAAGTGGAGTCTTGATTTAATGGCTGTTCTGAAGGACAGCACCTCTGGCAGTGCTGCACTGGAGTGTCTGCTTCAATTTTTGTGCTCACATCCTGGAGTCCCTAGGTTAGAGGCACAGGACTAAATGTAGGATCCCCAGAAGAGCAAATCTGAGATTAGTTGACTCAGTATCAACTGGAATTCTGAGTAAAGTTTGTTGCTTTTGTTTCCCTTGCTTTTTAGAGAAAATCAGTTTCTGACCGGCAGGGTTAAGTTACTCTCGCTATACGCAGAGTGGAACTGAAATGATTGCAAGATCCTTAAGCTATACTTTTATACGTAAAGCAGTGATTTGGTACTAAAAGAAGGTACTTGTGTAGCAATAAAGCAATTTTTAAACCAAATTCATTGAATCTTTAAAGCACAGAGAGACTATTATATCCTCTCTTCAAGGACAAATAATTTCGTGTCCAACTACCCTGTCTTGTTCCCTAGCCCCACAAATCTTTTCTCTACAAATATTTATCCAGTTGCCGTTTGAATGTCAGGAGTGAATCTACCACTGTTCCTTTATTCTCTGGGCTTTAACTTTGCTGGCAAATCTGACATGCAGCTTTATCAAATGCCTTTTGGAAACTCATATTTATCTCACAAGCTGCATTATCTCATCAACCCGTATTACCTCATAAAAGAAACTCAAATTGAGCATAATTTTCCCTGAAAAAATATGTGCTGGCTTCCATTAGTTAATCCATGTTTCTTCAAAGGATTGTCAATTTTGTCCGGCATTAGCATAACTAAATGTTTTCCTGGTATCAAGGATAAACTCTCCTGTTGTTGCTGGGTTAATCCTTGTATCTGATTTTTTTTTTATTGTTTGAAGAAGAAAAATTCCAATTCTCAAATCTTTTGGTACCACTCCTGTATCTAAGATTAGACAATTCCTGCCAGTGCCTTGGCAATATTCGGTCTTAATTCGCTCAGTATCCTTGGATGCATCTGATTCAGTCCTATTGATTTATGAACTTTGAAGTGCAGCCAGCCTTTCTAATGCCTACTTTTTGTTCTTTTTTTAAAAATAAATTTTAGCCAACGCATTACCTCAATTTTCTCTATGATCTTGGCAGCACTTTTTTTTGGTAAAGGTGGATGCAAAGTACTAATTTAGCACCTCAGCTATTCCCTCTACCTCCATATGTAAATTCGGCTTTCTGTCCCTCTTTTTACTGTGTTTTAACTACTTGTATGTCAGTGGAAGACTTGAATGAATTTTATCCAATATGGGATGTTGACAGCAACAGTTTGGATCTTGGTGCATGTTGTCAGTCAAGTGACCATTGACTCAGGAAAACAGTCTATAAAGGCAACTTTGTCTTTGTATATTGTGCTGTCTTAAATTATTACTACCTATTACAGGAAGACAATGGAGTGAAATTGGTTGATCCTTTAGGAGAAATGCTTGCACCTGCATGGGAAGCATATGCCACGCAGCTAGCAAATGCAGAAGAACAAGATCTGAAATCTGTCTTAACCAGTATTCTTGACAACGAGTCTGTGAACTTGCAGAAAGTAGCTCGGGTTGTTCTTGGCAGAGACACACGGTATGTGTTGTGGTTTTGTTGTTATGGGTATAGCTTGAATCATTTATTTCTCAGTTTTTGGAGCTGGGGAAAGGATGCCTTGTTAAGTAAACTGATATTCTATTGTTTACTGTTTTGTTTGTTGTGTTTGTATAAAATGATCCAACAATTTTCTTTTAATATCCAGGCTAATTTGAAGCAAAACGTGGAGTCCAGTATTGGCAATTATTTGTGAGCTTCCTGTTATAACAGTACTGGGGTCGGTGCATCATCTTAAATTCTTGAAATTAGCACTTCAATATTTAATTCATGGCATTGACCTAGTTTAGCACTGAAATTAAGAAGTCATCAAATTCAGTGTCTTCAACCAGGTAAATAGACACGGCTAAGTCAGCATTTGTTGTCCATCTCTAATGGTCCTTGAGAGGTGGTGGTGAACCACTATTTTGAAGTGCGGCAACCCAAGGAACACCTTGTGTAGATACACTCACAGTACTCTTTGGAAAGGAGTTCTGGGAGAGTATGATATGAATCATGAAGTTCAATAATATCTTTGTTAAGTGAATAAACAGAGCAGGCATTATGACCAATCTTAATTCAGTTGCATGATAATTCCAAAAACAATATAACATGTTCGTATGTGAACACTCGGGTTCAGTAGGACACAGACACTCTCTGGGTTATACAATGTAAAGGGTTTCAGCAGAACACATAGACACTCTATAACTTATGCGGTATAAAATAAAATATTGCATGCTTATCCATTATCCATAGGTTGCCACACCTTGTTTAAACAAGATGACTTAGAACATAGAACACAGAACTGTATAGCATAGGAACAGGCCCTTTGGCCCACGATGATGTGCTGAACATGAGGTCAAATGAAACTAATCTCTCCTGCCTGCCATTGGTCCCTATACCTCTGTTCCTTGCATATTCATGTGCTTATCTAAAAGTCCCTTAAATGCCCCTACTGTATCTGCCTCCACCACCACCGATGGCAGTGCGTTCCAGATTCCTACCACTCTGTGTAAAAAAAAACTTACCCTTCACATGTCTTTTGAATTTTCTCCCTCTAACTTTAAATGCATGCCCCCCTTGTGGTAGATATTTTAACTCGCGGAGAAAGATTCTGACCATCAACGCTATTGATGCGTCTCATAATTTTACAGACTTCTATCAAGTTTCCCCTTAGCCTGCACCGCTCAAGAGAAAACAAGCTGAGTTTTTCGATCTTCTCCTTATAGCTCATACCACCTAGTCCAAACAACATCCTGGTAAACCTCTTCTGCACTGTCTCCGAAGCCTCCACGTACTTCCAGTAATGTGGCGACCAGAATTGAACGCAGTATTCTAAATGTGGCCTAACCAAAGTCTTATAAAGCTGCAACATGACATCCTGACTCTCGTACTCAATTCCCCAACCAATAAGGGCAAGCATGCCATATGCCTTCTTTACTACCGTAGCTGCTTTCAGGGAGCTAGGGAGCTATGGACTTGAACCCCAAGATCCTTCTGTACATCAATGCTGTTCAGAGTCCTGACGTTAACTGCATACTTTCCCTTCACCTTTGATCTCCCAAAGTGCAGCACCTCATACTTATCCAGTTTAAACTCCATCTGCAACTGATCTATATCCCGCTGTATCCTTTGACAACCTTCTACACTATCCACAACTCCACCGATTTTTGTATCATCTGCAAACTTGCTAACCCACCCATTTACATTTTCATCTAAGTAAACAGCATGGATCTCTGCGGAACACCACTAGTCATGGAACTCCAGCTTGATAAAACACCCTTCCACCAATACCCTAAGTCTTCTGTAGGCAAACCAATTCTGAATCCACACGGCCAAGTCACTGTGGATTCCATGCATCCTAATCTTCTGGTTGAGCCTTCCATGAGGGACCTTGTCAAAAGCTTTACTAAAATCCATGTAAACAATATCCACTGCTCTACCCTCATTGATCACCTTCGTTGTCACCTTGAAAAATTTCACTCAAGTTAGTAAGACATGACCTGCCCTGCACAAAGCCGTTCTGACTTTCCCTAATTAGGCCATGCTTTTCCAAATGTGCATAATTCCTATCCCTAGGAATTCTCTCCAATGGTTTCCCAACCACTGCTGTCGGACTCACTGGTCCGTAGTTTCCTGGATTGTTCCTCTGCTCAAGAGAGGAAATAGGAATAACGTTAGCTACTTGGCTTCTAACCATTGTTCCCTCTAATTATTTTTGAGTGGGTTGCAAACTTGTCTGAGCACTCCATTTTGTTCATACGTCACATTGTAAAAGTCACTGAAGTTTCACAAAATAAGGAGCAGCATGTTTGTTTCAAAATGCTATGTGATCCAACCTGTCCTGCTCCAACCTGTCCTATTCTCTCCTTGAAGATTGCTTTCTGCGTTTACCTCCCATTGTTCACAGTCTACCTCTTTGTATACATTCACTCTTGCACATACCTATTCACGTCTCTCTTGTCCTGTTCTCCTCTTCCTCCCTCACACATTCCATACCTGGACAGCTGACTCCCCCATCTTGTCACTTATAACAGTGTATATAAAATGTGGAAGGAATAGGGAAAAAAACAATTTGAAGGTCTGGTCTTCAATCATAAATAACCTTAGAGATCCATTCATCTCCCCAAATAGTGAAATGAAGGGGTCATAATCTAGTCTCATCCATTATTCATTCACCTGGACAGCTTCAATGAGCATGTGGCGTCCAGGCTAGTGCATGTGACCCAGTCAGTGCTAAAGGTAGATGTTCCTTGATCATGCTGTGTATTGTGATCATTTTGGTGGGAGGTTGTGACATTGGATTCATAATCTGGAGCCCCAAGCTAATATTTCTGAGAACAAGGTTCAAATTCCACCTGGCGGCAGATGGTGAAGTAGATTTTCAATAAAATCTGGAATTAAAAAGCTATCCAATAGCAAACACGTAACCATTGTCGGCCAGGCAGCATCAGAGGAGCAGGAAAGCTGGACCCTTCTTCAGAAAAGTGATTTCTAACTTGCTTCTGGAGCTTCTAACATTTTTGTCTGCATTAGCAAGAGCTTTTACTGCCTTCCCGTTAATAATGAATGCTTTTATATTTCACTTTTTTATAGACATTCTATTCCTTTCTTCCTTTATATTCTTAGATAGAGCTAGGCGATCCCACAACCAACAGATCAGATCTAAGTTCTGCAGTCCTGCCACATCCAGTCACGAATGATGGTTGACAATTAAGCAACTCACCAGAGGAGGAGGCTCCACAAATATTCCCGTCCACAATGATGGAAGAGCCCAACACATCAGTGTAAATAAGGCAGAAGCACTCACAGCAGTCTTTAGCGACAGGTGCCAAGTGGATGATCCATCTTGGCCTCCTCTACTAGGCCCCAGCATCAGAGATACCAGTCTTCAGCCAATTTGATTCACTGCATGTGATATCAAGAAACGTTTGGAGGCACTAGATACTGCAAAGGCTGTGATTCTGACAACATTCCAGCAGTAGTACTGAAGATGCGTGCTCCAGAATTTGCTGCTCCCCTAGCCAAGCTCTCTCAATACAGTTACAGCAGTGGCATCTACCTGACAATGTGAAAAAATGCTCAGTATGTCCCTTACACACAAAGCAGAACAAATTCAACCTGGCCAATTATTGCTGTATTCGTCTACTCCAGGTCTGTAAAGTGATGGAAGGAGTCATCAACAGTGGTACCAAGCAGTACTTCCTCAGTGACACCCCATTTGGGTTCTGCCAGGGCCACCCAGCTGCTGACCTCATTACAGCCTTGGTTCGAAACAGCTAAATTCCAGACGTGAGGTGAGGTGAGAGTAATAGCCCTCGATACCAAGGCCACATTTGGTTGAGTGTGGTATCACGAAGCAAAGCTGGGATCAGTGGGTGTCAAGGGACAAAATATCCACTGGTAGGAGTCATACCTGGCATGTTGGAAGATGGTTAAAATTGTTGGAGGTCAATTATCTCAGCTGCAGCACACCTCTGCAGGAGTTCCTCAAGATAGTATCTTGGCCGCACCGTTTTCAGCTGCTTCATTGATGACCTTCCCTCCATCATAAGGTCAGAAGTGGGAATGTTCGCTGATGATTGAATAATGTTCAGCACCAATAGTGACTCCTCAGATACTAAAACAATCCATGTTTAAATGCAACAAGATCTGGACAATATTCAGGCTTGGACTGAAAGGTGGCAAGTAACATTCACGCCACACAAATGCCAGGCAATGACCATCTCCGATAAGGGACAGTCTCACCACTGCTCCTTGATATTCAACGGTGCTAGCATTACTGAGTCCCCTACTGTCAACATCCTGGGGTTTACCATTGACCAGAAACTCAGCTGGACTGGCTATATAAGCAAAATGGTAACAAGCATTAGCTCAGAGGGGAGTGACTCACTTCCTGACTTCCCAAAGGCTGTTGCCCGTTTACAAGGCACAAGGCAGGAATGTGATGAAATACTTTCCACTTGCCTGGATGCTCCAATAACACTCCAGAAGCTTGATCCCCATCCAGGACAAAGCTTGCTTGATTGGCACCACATCCACAAGCATCCACTCCCTCTTCCACTGGCGGTCAGTAGCAGCAATGTGTAACTTCTACAAGATCTACTGCAGAAATTCATCAAAGATCCTTAGACGGCATCTTCCAAACCATGACTGCTTCCATTTAGAAGGACAAGGGCAGCAGATACACCAGCGCCTGCCAGTGCCCTTCCAAGCCACTCACCATCCTGACTTGGAAATATGTTACCATTTTTTCACTGTTACTCCTTGAAATCCTTGAATTCCCTCCCTAAGGGCATTATGGATCAATCTACAACATGTGGACTGCAACATTTCAAGAAGGCTGCTCATCACCACTTTCTCAAGGGTAACTATGGATAGGCAATAGACATTGGCCAGCCAGTGATGCCCATGTTCTGGGAGTGAATAAAAATAAGTTTGTGCACAGACAAATAGGGATCAATACATATTGAAATACAAGTGGAAGGTATTCTTCGATAGTC